TGAGAGAGAGAGAGAGAGACAGAGACAGAGAGTGAGAGAGAGACAGAGACAGAGAGAGAGTGAGAGAGAGACAGACAGAGACAGACAGAGAGACAGAGAGAGAGAGAGAGGAAGACAGGGGGGTAGATGAGGCCACAAAGAAACTAAGAAGAGTCTTTATTGTCCAGATCCGTATATTGATTAGTGATGCAGCCAGGTTCATCAAAATACAGTTTATCAAAATACAGAAATCAGAAGAAACAGGCATTATTTCCTTAGTTTGGAATTTTTAAATCTAATTTTAATTTTTTGGCTCAACCTCTTTTATGTCCACATAAAAACATTTCTGTGTGAATTTTACTGAAAAATATTGATTAAAAGCACAAAATATATCCTTTTTCTGTTTTCAAGGACTCTTTAGCTAGTGGAGTTACCAAACTTTGGCAGCCACTTTCTCACTCACTTCACCACTGAAACCAGGCAACCCTACCTCCATTAATCACAAATGTCTCGACTTCTATTCAAGATAGATGGGTATTTTTTTTTTTTAATTGAAAGCACGGCAAAGGAACAAGCTATCAAATGATACCAATAACTCAACATGCCCAAAAACTGACCAGGGCCTTTTTTTTTATAAACAGTAGAGGGTTTTATGGCCCTCGCAACTGCATAAGGTCATATGAGCGCAAAGGGGTGGGGTGTCAACAGAGAAGTCTTTACAGGGAATCAGACTTACTCTGCTCACCTCTCTAGCTTCAACAACACAAGGTCTGCTTTGACTATCAAGGCACCCCGGAAATAGTGGGTCACAAGAGAGTGACAAACATACAAAAGTAGAAGAAAATGACAATAGTAAGGATCAGGAAAGAAAAAGCAGCAGTTCCCTGTTGTAGATCAGGCACAGTTATGAGCGTGACATGAGTCAGCCCATTTACAATTCTATGCTTGAACGAGAAATGTCCCCTTTTTGGGGATAGCCTAAAGACACTAAGACATTAGAGTCAGTGGCACTGCCCCCCGGGGGGGGGAGGGGTGTGTGTGTGACTCCACCATGTCGTGACACATTTGGTACTTCACCACACACACACATACCTGTGCACCCACGACACATCCATACACACACACATACCTGTGCACCCACGACACATCCATACACACACATACCTGTGCACCCATGACACATCCATACACACACATACCTGTGCACCCATGACACATCCATACACACACATATACCTGTGCACCCATGACACATCCATACACACACATACCTGTGCACCCATGACACATCCATA